AGCCACATCCCCAGTCCTTTTTTTTTGTATTTTATTTAGAGACTGGGTCTCAATAAGTTGCTTAGGGCTTGCTAAATTACTGAGGCTGGCTTTTATCTTGTGATCCTCGTACATCAGCCTCCCCAGCAACTGGGATTACAGGCATCCACCACCACACCAGCCAAAATCCAGATCTTAATTGGCTTTGTTTTTGTCTATTCATTCTTTCTTACAGTAATTCTCAAGAAATGGTACAAATTCTTTCTATTCTGAAGATCTGCTCTAAAATGACCCTGTGTATGAGTGCAAGAGATGAAACAAGATTGGCTATGAGCCAGTAATTGTTGAAGGTGGGTGACACATACACAGTAACTCATTACACTATTTTATTTCTGTATAAGTTTAACATTTTCCAAATAAAAAGTGAAGAAATCATGAAGAGAAAGGCTCTGAAGCTGGCCACAGTGCTCCATACCTGTAATCCCAGCTATTTGGTAGGATGGGGCAGGAGGATCCCAAGTTTGAGGCCAGTTTTAGCAACTGAGACCCTGTCTCAATATAAAATATAAAAAGACTAGGGGATGTAGCTCAGTGGCAGACCATCCCCAGGTTTAATCCCCAGTACCATAAAAAGAAAAGAAGAAAAAAAAAAAAAGAGTCTCTGAAAAGAAAACCAACTCATAGTTCAGAGGAAAACCAGACTAACACCATGGTTCTCAGAAAATACAACACCCCCCCCCCAAAGCCAAAGGAATCAATTGTTATTCAATTATATTTTATCAGATTTTATGTGAGTAATGTCACAGAAGAGTGATGTTATCCTAGTCTGGGAAGTCACAAAATTCTTGAACAGTACAGTTTAATAAACTTTCTCTGATGATGTACATATTCAGTATCTGTGCAGTTCAAGCCAAGAGCCACAGCCACATGCAGCTATTTAGCACTTGAAATGAGACAATATTATGACTAACTTAAAATTTAATTTAAATAGACAGCCTCTGATCCTCACAGTGGAACCAGGAATAAGCTCACCAAATAACTGAGCTGCACAATGGACAGAAAGAAAAATAGAGTGCTGCTGATATGGGCCATAATATATATATAACAAATATAGCAGAAGAGTGATTTTATGGATCAATCCCATAAACTTGTTGGTTCTTCACTGCTTAGCATAAAGCATGTTGATGGATATAACAACAATTAAGTAATTTACCTTTTCATTTAAGCAAGCTTGAAAATCACTTTTCATGTCTGTCACAGCAACTCTATCCTGAGGTCTTTTTGGACCACTGACAGATGGAACTATTGAATTCAGATTAATCTGGATCACCTGGGAATATTCAGGTTCTGAAGAATTCTGGTCATTTTGAAACAACTTCACAGCTTTAAGGTACGTCTCCATTGACTTGAGTTTGGCTTTGTCAAAACCTAAAAGGAAGAAACAAGAACAAAATCTAGTAAGGAAATCAAAAAAGAGTAAGGATGTGGAATTCCAATGCCAAGCAAGAAACAAACACAGTGTAATACTTCTCTTGTTCTTACCTCTGAGAAGCCACATTTGAGAAAGCCCAGATTATATGAAGATACCACAGAGGCACATGTAGGCACATCTGAAAGCTCTAGCTTAGTCCCCAGCACACAACCATTCATTGTTAGATGTGTGAGAAAACAGGCCTTCAGGACTCTAGGCCCTAGCTTTCAAATCTCATAGTTCAAGTCCCAGATATGAAGCAGAGAAAAGCTCTCTCACTATGCCCTGTCTGAATGACTGATCTACTGAAACTATAAGGCAATAAATGATTATTGTTAGTTTAAGCAACTGAATTTTAGGGCAATGTGCTATACACAACAAAATATGACTAACATCTTAATTCAGATTAATATAAAGTAATGAGGCACCTCTAATCATTTCTCTCTTGAAGTTCTTCTACCAACTAAATTCCAGATATGAGAAAGTTTTGCATTTTACAGGGAACATTCCTGCTAAGATATCATATGATTTGTCATTCACTTTGCCATTTGATTCACTCACGTATAATAATGTGCCCTCAAACTCAAGAATATAGTAATATATCCCCCTCTAATCAAACATATCTTCGATTAAAGATAAGTAGCTCAGCAATAATTTCCGCATAAAAGGAAAAATAAGAAGAGATCTACTTTTTAAAGAATAGAAGCCTTATGAAATATCAATATATTCTGGTTGTGAATAGTCAAGAGATTTGGAACCTGTAACTCTATGTGTTGCTTTTGGCAAAACTGGTGCTTCCTATTCTCTGGAAAGAACTCTGCCCCAAATGCTTGTCTGGTGGCTCTTCTACTCTGCCTACAGAATGAAATATCTGTGAATATGCTCAAGCCTGGTTTCCATTAAAGTGAAATCTCTGATCCCTGTGGAATCCATTATCATGGGGGAAACATGAGAATTAGTGGTTTGAATAATTCCTTTAAGTTGCTGTCAATGGATCATGGGGGCTAGTTTTTAAGGACAGAACACTCTTTATAGACATATGATACAGTTAAAAAGCCACTGTTTCAAGACGATTTCAGAAATATTAAATACAAAATATTAAATATAAATATTATCAGAAAGATACAGTGGAAATCTAACATGTTCATTCTTATATACTCTTACCTGTATGTTCTAAATGTTTTAATGTCACATTGTCAACAGGGAAAAAGCTGAGGATAGCACCATATTCTGGACACATGTTGGCTATTGTAGTTCGATCTACGATAGATAATTGTGAAACTCCACTTCCAAAAAACTCAACAAACTTTCCAGCTACTCCTACTTGCCTGAGGTGCTATAAAAAGGAGTACAAACACACAAAAAAAAATCAGAAATGGCAAGATTAGCAAGGATTTCCTGAAAACTATAAAATCTAATATTTAACCAATACTATTGATATTGAAAGAACCAGATCCCTTGATATTCACATGAAACAAACTCATTCTGGTTTTTAGGTATTTTAAGATTTAATTGGACCATTAATTAAAAAATGGTCCAATGTCAGCCAGGCATGGAGGCACAAATTTGTAATCCCAGCGGCTCAGGAGGCTGAGGCAGGAGGATCTTGAGTCCAAAGCCAGTCTCAACAACTTAGTGAGGCCCCGAGCAACTCAGCAAGATCCTGTCTCCAAATAAAAAATACAAAAAAGGGCTGGGGGATGTGGCTCAGTGGTTAAGCAGGCCTGGATTCACTCCTCAGTACCCCAAAAAACCAATGCCATTGTTAGTCACAGTCAAAAGGGCTTAAAACTCAAGACGGCTACAATTCACAGGTTAAATGCCTTTGAAATCTGGATACAACATGGACTCTAATGTATGCCTGTTGAGCCTTTATTCTTTCCTTTTTATGTGGTACTTGGTATTGAATCCAGGGCGTCACACATACTAGGCAAACCTTCTACACTTAGCTACTTCTCCAGACATTTTTTATTTTGAGTCAGGGTCTTGCAAAGTTGCCCAGGCTGATCTTATTTTTA